AGTAGCGACGGCATCACGTGATGGATCTATTTAAATAAAGGCATTTCTTTCCTTGCAGGACTATAGATAATTATAAGTTGATATCCTCATAACGCGTTCAATTTTAATGATGCAATTTATATTATGTTCTTAACTTTTATTGGTAAACAAAATACATGTATATAAATTTCCAGCCGTATTTAAGCTGACGCAAGTTATAGCATGTATAACTTTAATGGCAATTAAAAAATAAAGCAATCTAATGATGTATCGATCAATGCAACTGTACTACAAAAACATTAATTATAGGTGAAAATTTACACATCAAGTTCCGTAAAACTATAACTGAATAGGAAAAGTAGGAAACAAGTCAATATAATTATAATTACATTGTAGATATTCCGAATCCGCTATCGCTTCAGTTGTTAGATGTTTGTAGCTGCAGAACTGTAGCTCTCTGCTTGAGAAAATTCGGACAGATAAAGCAGAGAGCTACAGATCCAAGCGTTGTAAAAATCTTCGATTTACGCCGACGATTTTTTGTCGCTCACTACGGGTATTTTTTCTTGTATTTTATACTTTCCCAGCTTTGAAATTAATTTTAAAAGGTATTTAACAGTTAATCATACATTAAACTTTAATTCCTGATACATGTAATTTACTTACCTCTAAACGCTAACAAATGGCTGCATGTTTGTGGTTACGGTCTAAAGGGAACATTACAAAACTATATATACAGGACTGTTTCGGATACGTTAAAAGGTAAATAAAGTATCAAATATGAGTTAAATATATGAATTATTATATGATACCATTCTAAAAGCCAGAAAAAGCTTAGACTACACTAAATAAGTACCTAAAGTAGTGACAAAAAATCGTCGGAGTAAATCGAAGGTTTTTACAACGCTTGGATCTGTAACTCTCTGCTTCATCTGTCCGAATTTTAACAACATTTAGCAGAAAGCTACAGTTCTTCTAAATTTTGAGAAGCGGTAGCGGATGTGAATGCATGCGTAATGACGGTTAATTAGACTGGAACCATGGTTCTCTTTCAGAACTATAGGTAGACCCTGTTTGTATGTCTTTCCTATCAATCAAGCAACCCTTTCTCTCTTGTGTGTATGTATATTGTATTTCATGTATATGACTATATCCATGATATACAAGTACCAAGTAAACATTCTCTTTGCCCCACGCAATGACCCTTAATTGCTCAGTCAACTAATTGAATTGAATATATTTACATTGTAACTCTGCTTCTGTTTTTTATAATTGGTTAGGACTTCATCAAATTCAAACAAGTGATGACTTGTATTATTTAATCATTGAATCATATAATAAAAGTTATAAAACATTTTTTTTTAAGTTAACACAATGATTTCGCCACCTTCGAAGTACAATCTTTTGTATCTGCAATTTTTGACCTATACTCGGCAATCAGAGCCAATGAGCAATGAGGGATCGTTTTTGTGTCAACACCTATGGAACGCCAAATTAACATATATTCAAATATTTGTACCTATCTTCAAATAATTGTACCTATCTTCAAATGAATTGAAGATAGGTACAATTGAATTAAAGATAGGTACAATTGAATTAAAGATAGGTACAATTGAATTGAAGATAGGTATAAATAATTATACCTATCTCTAAATAATTATACCTAGGTACAAATGAATTATACCTATCTTTAATGGAATTACACCTATCTTCAATTCAATTAAAGATAGGTTCAACTGAATTATACCTATCTCTAATTCATTTGAAGATAGGTATAATTGATTTAAAGATAGACCTGTATTCAATTAAAGATAGGTTCAACTGAATTATACCTATCTCTAATTCATTTGAAGATAGGTATAATTGATTTAAAGATAGACCTGTACAATTGATTTGAAGATAGGTTCAATTAAGACATATCCATAAAGGAATTGAAGATAGGTACAATTCAATTATACCTATGTTCAATTCGTTTTATGTTGTTGGTAACTAATGAACGCTCCCTTGGAGACAATATTGAGTATGGAGGGAAACGCACAGAACCTACACAGCGACGACAACAAGGATGAAAGGAGAAATACAGGTTAATTCAAAATGTGCAAAAAGCATCATATACTTATAAAAATACACATGTATATCATGTAGGTATATCTCGTATTGCAGCCAGATGAAGAATCCGATAAATGTTTCGCGCCAGCTGTGACGTATCGGAAATGACGTATGATAAAGGGAGTAGTTGTTATTGTCAATATCTTAGTAATTAAAGATAGGTTCAATTCAATTGTCTCTCTTGTGTGTTTAAATGTATTTATACCTATCTTCAATTCATAGCATTTGTACCTATCTTCAAATCAATTGTACCTATCTTTAAATGAATTAAAGATAGGTATGCTTCTGTATAATTGGTTAGGACTATCTCTAATTCATTTGAAGATAGGTACAATTGATTTAAAGATATGTACAATTGAATTTAAGATAGGTACAATTGAATTGAAGATAGGTACAATTATTTGAAGATAGGTACAAATATTTGAATATATGTTAATTTGGCGTTCCATAAACACCCACTGCGACACACGAAACCTCGGTTTAAACGGTCTTGTCCGAAGGACCGGTCTCAAAGTCCACAGTGGGATTCGAACCAGCGACGTATAAGGATCAACTACTTTCTCCGAGATTAGAGCAGACGTTCCACCACTAAAACGTCAAGTGTTTTGTTCGCTAAAACCTCCTGTCCATCCGCTATATGAGCATGTACAACGCCGATTTTAGTCGCCGTCATTACAAAATTATGCGATAATTGAATGTTTTAATTCATTAAAGTATTTACACATTTTGTGAAATCATTTTTGGATCTACAGTGTAAATTATCCGTAGATAGTAGTAAGTTGCTCTGATCGACACATAAGATTCTCTTTTTTATGGTTGAAATTTCAATGACAAACTTCATTCATACTTTTCAAACAGTATTTTTGAATAACCAAAGAATTTCCGAAGTGTCCCATTTCTGCTTAACACTCACTAAATAATCTTTGACATACAATAATTATGCAAACTGCGCAGAACGTCGCATTAGAGAAAACTTTCTTCTTTTATAAAAATATCTCGCTCAACCTTGCCCGAATCTAGACACATAAATTATGTCTGCACATAAATTGGACATAAAAATTTCAAATCTAGATACTTGTCTCTTATCAGATTACTTCAATTAATGGCAAGGGTGCGTACACAATGTCAAAGGTCACCCCTGGATGGAAAAGATAGGAAGAACTTCAAACTTGCCATCTCAAGTAACAAAGTGTAAAAAGATTGCAAAATTAGTCTTAAAAAGCCAAAGAAACACTTGTATACACAGGAATGTCGAGAAACCATTATTTCCCTTCTCAATGTCTGATAATTTATTCGCAATTACATATTCATACAGCATCTTGATGTGCAACCTGACCGCTGTAATCAATAGAGAACAAATTGTATACAGAAAGGGTGTAACTATACACCCGAACGGTGTAATCCAGTACGCCCCGCCAGTTCTCGGTGGTCCTGATATAGAGACCAAAAACACACCCGGTCAGTTCTCAGTGGTCCTGATGTGGTATATAGAGACCAAAAAACACACCCGGTCAGTTCTCGGTGGTCCTGAAGTGGTATATAAGGAGACCAAAGCACACCCCGTCAGTTCTAAGTGGTCCTGATGTGGTATATATAGAGATCAAATACACACCCGGTCAGTTCTCGGTGGCCCTGATGTGGTTTATAGAGACCAAAAAATAAACCCGGTCAGTTCTCCGTGGCTTTGATGTGGTTTATAGAGTCTAAAAACACACCCGGTCAGTTCTCGGTGGCTTTGATGTGGTTTATAGAGACTCAAAACACACCCGGTCAGTTCTCGGTGGCCCAAGATAGAGAAACACATCAAGTCAAATTTTGGTGATACGGGGGCATGTAGAGACCTGAAAAATACATCGCATCAGTTGTCGATGGTCCACGGACTCATCCTGTCAGTTTCCGCGGTGGTCCACGGATGTTGTATACAGAGACAGATGAACATTTATAGTCAGTTCTCGGTGATCTAGAAGTAGTATAGAGAAACCAGAAAAATCACGCCCAGTCAGTTCTCGATAGTCCAAATGCATGTGTGGAAGATAAATAAGAGACAAATATCCAGATGGTACAGACAGGGACACACGTTTCGATGGTCCTCGAATTCAGTGGTCCAGAGATTTGCATCCCGCAAGTCAATTCAGTGCTGCTGGAAGTTACAAAGCCAACACAACAGGAGGAATACTTGTTAAAGCAGATTACTATTTTGTACCTTCGTTGCTGAATCTTAGGGCGAGTGACATACAATATATGAGGAAACCCATCAAACGAAACAATTCAGATATGAATTTAGAAAACAATTTGGACTTTCACTTGTTAATTAACATTTTTATTTGGAAAGACGTGCAGACAGTCATATGGAATGTAAAAATGTTACGACATGTCCAAACCACGAACAAAATGTACCATTTTTCTCCCAGAGAGAACTTTGGATGGACTCCAGACCGTGGCTTGAGACCATGGATGTGGCATGTCAAACGTTACAGTACTCTATCTTTTCCATTTGCATCAATTAATTTTCAAGAGTATTCTGAAGTTGTCTGAATGATTAACCGAAAGTATTGTCTGCGGAATTAAATTTAGGTGTTTTATGCACAATATACAGTGTACATTTATTTAAAAGTTTTAAACACATGAAATAGAAATGAATGACCTTACATAATAACAGTATATTGGAAATTTTTCTCACGGTTAATACACGGTTTTTTTTACAGCTTATAACTCTGCAACTTGCGATGAAAGCAATGTGAGATTTGTTAGGGGTGGGATGGAGGTTTAGAATGAAATACATGTATCGCCATAGCAGTTCTTCGATAAAGAAACAAAGTCGACTAAGATTTTTAAAAAACAGCATTTTAAATATGCATATATGTATGATTCAACTTAATTCAGAGAAACAATTTACTTTCAGTATTACCTCCAGAGAATTGCGTACAAGTTTTTGAAGGGGCTTCAGAACACGAGCTAAGTAGCACCTATTGATATTTCTTTGAGGTAAGAATAAAATATGCTTAAAAACTTGTCTGTACAATGTGACTTTTATATACTATTTCACTTTTACTACATAAATTTACTGTAGAAAAGAGAGATTAGGAGAGAAACATTCTATAAAAGTACAGACAAACAAAAACTGGATGATTCAAAAGGAATACTTTTCATCAGAAGTCTGAAAGAGCTATCATTAGTACTATTATGTTAATTTTGAATTTACTGGGTAAAGAATTAACTGGAGATAAATGTTAAATTTACAACAGATAGTACATGTAAATTTTGCATTTACCTCCACACAGAGTCAATTAAATTTAGTACGTATACTAGTGGTTTAAAAAACAACTATATTTATGTAAGTTTTTCATACATACTCATTTCCTGACGACATATGGAAACATAACACGCGTCACAAGTTTATCAACAGAATTCCAGTTTTCCATAATATGCAACTGAAGTTTCTCAAAAATCGAATAATTTGTAAATTCCATTTTCTACATTGAACGATTTGAAGGAAATCATATTTACCCTTGGTATATATATAGATTGTGGAAAACCCTGTGCTAAAAATATCTTTTATTTTCTCTCACGACAGATTGGCAGTTAGATACTACGGGGGGAAGCCCATTTAGGACCTTTCAAAAAATATTTCTGATATAACGAATTGTCGAATTTGTTAGAACGAATTTCATTCGTTATAGAAATTTTTTTTCGTCATAACGAATTTAAATTGCTATAACAAATTTGTTGAATTCGTTATAACAAATTCAAAAATTTGTTATAACAGATTAAATTCGTTTAAACGAATTTTTAAAATTTGTAATAACGAATTAAATTCGTTTAAACAAATTCAATTATTTGTTATAACGAATTAAAGCCGTTTAATCAAATTCGACAATAGGGGCCTATAGAAAAGATTTGTGAATTTGTTATAACAAATTCAACAGATTTGTTTTAACAGATTTAATTTGTTATAACGAATTCAAAAAATGTCATTACGAATTTGATTTGTTATAACAACTTTTAGAATCCATTTGAACGAATTTAAAATTTTATAATTTCTGGAATTCGTAATAACGAATTTTAGATATCTGTAATAAGAGATTAAATTCGTTATAACGAATCCCCCCAAATTGTTTGTACAAATTTAATTCTTTTTAACAAATCTGAAAAATCGTTATATCGAATTCAAAAATAGTCAGTGTTTCATCATGACTTAAACATCTATAATCGTATGGAAAACGTTATAGTCAACATTTGTTTGACTTTAGATTGTAAGGTCATCCACTACAGCACTTGTGAATCGACGACTTTTTAAACGATTGATATTCTTGTTTCATCAACTCTTGTGGAAATGTGGCTGAAATATTGCCGACTCGGTGTAAAACAACAATATTCAACCCTCATCTTATAGAAATATATTTTCCGTAAATTAAGCATGCTCTGGCTACGAGACACAAACCCTATATTCTGGCGATAAGTAATTTTGGGTTATATTGCTAAACAATTAAGGGAAATTGACAATAAAAAAGTTGAAGTTATTTCGTTTATTATAAACTTTGTTTGTTAGGTTACCATTAATAGTAAAATAGCCAACCAACAACAAAAACTATATACGTCAATACAAATGAAAAATCTGGACGTTTGATTTTTATTTTAAAAATATGCATTTGTGAACTGAATTGATAACACCCCCTCCAAAAAAACAAAAAAACAAAAAGGATAAATATCTTCGTTGCTGTAACTTGCCAGCGAGTATAGATGTACCTTTGAAGACGTATCTGCTTATATTTACATCCACTGAATATTTTCTCCTTTATTTTTTAAGAAAACCCATTGCGTTAATCACTGCATGAACAACAGTAGGCATGTCGCCTGTACAGTTTTCTTGATCACTGGCGGTTCCATCAATGAAATGTTAAAGACGTTCGCATCATTAATACAATAATTAATCTTTTTAATCCTACTTTAAATGATTATGTAAACAGATATAAATATAAACAATAAAATGTCTTTGTTAGTTATTACTGGAATTAACGGTCGAAGCTGTTGCAGGAAAAATTTACATAACCCGCTTACGCGGGTTATGTATTTTTTCTGCAACAGCTGCTTCCGTTAATTCCAGTAATAAAAAACAAAGAAAGCATTTTATTGTTTAAATAATAACGGATCGTCCAATGAAGGAAAATGTTACCAAATACGTAATATAGTAGCTGTGCTCAGCAAATTCTAACAGAGAGCAGCGAATACAATCAATCAAACCTTAAGATATCGAATTTTTGAAACAAAAATAGAGAAAAGCTCTTAGTTTTGTTTTTTATCTTTTTGTTAAAATACTCAATATGTAACTTTGCAACCGACATTGGTTTTAAAAGCATATTACGATATCTTTCTTTACTTAGTTCCAGATATCATCCTTTGACCTTTAGCAGAAAAATCAACGTTTACAGAATCAATGGTAGGTTTGTATAAAAAGGCACATTCCCATGATGGAAGTATTGTCCTCTCTGTAGAAGTAATAAAAGATGAAGCTGTTCAAGAGTTTCCCATCAAAGTAATCAATCCTAACCAATCAATGCATACAACGCCACATTTCATTCTTCGAAGATTTTTATACCATCACCGCTTACCAAAAAACGTATCTCAAACTAGTTTAATCCATGCATTGGAAGGGACTTTGCAATGCAGTTTAAATATTTTAAATCAAATATCAACATATAAAATGACCTTGGGTTAAAACAAAGTTATGAAAAAGATATATTGCAAGAAAAAAATATACATAGTTATTATTGAGTAAGATAGAATTATCTTTCTTTGAATCGTTTTGTAACATTTCAGCTTTTGGCTTCTTTAAAACTTAATGGTTATGGGCATATGCCGAGGTGTAACATGAAAAATGTTGCTACGGACCTGACTATGAAAAGAGTTTTCATTTTAACTCCCTTCAAATATACTTATTTAGCAAAAATAAATAAAATATATAGCCTACTGGTCTACCATCAAATCTTCTTTACGGCTACATTTCATGTCGAGTACTGGAGGTCTGATATGTACCGTTAAAAGGAACTTTTGACAACTTCTTTATTTTGAACAAGATGCGTTTCTGAAACGCTAATGCTCCCGTATGCCTGCTTTTGACCAAGGCTAAAATTCCGAATACAAGTCAATTTCTAAGGTAAAATATAAAATATTTGTTATCCAAGGAAAGAACTTTCCAGCTGTTTGAATGAATATACCTATGAAATATAAAGCCCAGGCACAAGTTCATTCCTTGTTGGAAATCCTACATTCGACATCTTGACCTTGCAATATGAGCCACTTTTTGCAAATTTTGGCAAACTCTACACTAGAAGATAACTTTTGAATAGTTGATGCTGGGAATTTCATACTTCATATTTGTATACCTTATGAGAAGGCCTTTTCAAATATTATACATTCTTAATCTTTTGACTTTGACCTTGGAATTCGACGCACTTAAGTAAAATTTAAACCTTGGTCATATCTTTTGAAAGGTGTGCGCTAGGAATTTTATATTTCATACGTATGTTTCTAGCTGCAATAATGTAGCCCTCTCCGATTTTTTTTATCTGATATTTTCTGGAGAGGGCCACAATTCCATCGCATCTCCGTAATGGTGCAAATATATTTTTTTGATACGGGTGATTGGAGGCAAAATAAATTATTTTTACATTAAACTTACTTCTTATAAGACGGAATTTTTATTCACTGTCAACAACATAGCCTGTTAAACTCGAAAACCATGTAAAATAAATCTGTGTCTTTCCCAGCTGCAATATTCAGCAGCCATGACAGTTCACGCGCGACGTAGTGAGACTCTAGCTTGAAATTTGGAACAACCAAATAAAGCAAATGTCGATGTTTATAAACGATTGTGCTTTAATATATTACAAAAACATCGATAAATAAAACCATTTCAAGTGTTATTTTTGCGCAAACAGCGATACGTATGCTTAAAATAAGGGAATTCCTAGTAGATCCGCTCCTATAGAACCTAAATTCTCATTGGCTGTCCCAAAATACAATCCATCAAGGTCAGTAAACATAGCGGATAAATTCAAGTTAAGCTGGTGACACACACGAAAAATAACCGATATATGGGTCGTTGTGAATATTTTTGGATCGATTTATGTTTTGCATAATTACATATTTGGATTCCAGGTAAGAGCTAATAATAAAATAGCCGTTTACTGATAATTTGAGCCGAAATCCGTGCGGGAGTGATCCACTGCCGCATCTGCGCCATTATAGAGATCCTAAGGAGTTGTAGCCCTCTCCCCCCCAAAAAAAAAAAAAATCGGAGAGGGCTACATTATTGCAGCTAGTATGTTTCGTGTGGGAAGACCTTACTTTTCTATACCAACAGTTTTGACCCTATCCCCTGACCTTAGAGGTTGACTTCATTTTGAAAAAAAAAATAACATTTTCAATAACTTTTGAAAAGTGTGTACTTGGGATTTTATATTTAACATGTGATCTTCTTTTGGAAAGACCTTAGCTTGGGTACTACATGTAGGATTTTTAATCTTTTCTCCTTGATCTTTGAGGTTTACTTACTTTTGAAAAAAAAATAATATCATTACATTTGAACGGTTCGTGCTCGGGATTTCATATTTCACTTGTGTATTTCTTGTACCAAGATCTTCCACTGGGCACCATTAATTTAACCATCTGATCATTATCTTACTTGTGAAACTTTACCTTTGCAATAATTAGCTGCGGGTGAATTAGTGATTCACAAATGCATCTTGACAATGGAGTTTGAATTGCATTTTTAATCAAAGTTCGCCTTACAGGTAAGTCTCCTTTAATTTATTAATTATGATGTTGGTACTCAAAGAAAAGTCTTGTCACAAAGGATACATATTTGAAAAAAAAAACTATAGTACAAGCCGTTCAAAGTTATGGTCAATGTACATGTATAATTTTTCGTTCAAAGGTGGGTCAACCTCCCAGTCAACTTTAATGGGTCTTGTGACAAGGAATATGCACGTGAAATATGAAAGACTTAGCAATAACTGTTCAAAGAATATACGAAGGTTCAATTTTTTTTCTTTCAAAAATACATCAAATCCAAAGGTGTTTGCATGTCAAAAGGTATAAAATGTTTTCCCTCAATTTTCCTTCAATTATGTAATGTTTAACTCTTTCAATATTAGTTTATAATATTTGTCTTTGTAAAACTCAAATATGTGCAGTAATTTGTACCTTGATTTAACCAGTTGTTAAACGAACATATTTCATCAACAATAGCTACTTTTTTGCCTGTATATAAAAAAATTGTTTAACTTGATTTTCGATTGTGGAATAATTCCAGACGAATGGCTCACGGGCATTGTCAAACCGATTTTTAAAAATAAAGGTGACCCAACAAATCCAGAAAATTATCGTCCAATAACTAACACTTTTAAGCTGTCTTGGTAAGCTTTTTACCTCCATTTTATGTAAACGCATGGAATGTTATGTAGAGAGCTCAAATCTTATAAGCGAAAGCCAAACGGGCTTTCGGAAAAGTTATTCTACCTTGGATAATATACTTAGTTTACATTTTCTTATAAACATGGTGATATCTCTCAAAAACAAACTTTTTTGTGCTTTTATTGATTTCAAACAGGCATTCGACAGAGTGTGGAGAAATGGGCTTTGGTACAAACTGTTGAATAATGGCATTAGCGGTAAATGTTTTACTTTTATAAAAAACATGTATAATGGAGTCAAGTCCCTTGTGACTATGAATGGTCTTTCATCTGAATTTTACAATTGTATAACATTGGTGTCCGCCATGGAGAAAATTTATCACCTCTCCTGTTTTCTATGTATATTAATGATCTAGAAGAGTTTCTCGCCAGTAAAAATGTGCATGGGTTATCTTTTAATAATGTAAGCAGTTCAAACTCTGTAGAAAATGAAATTTTGATTAATTTTAAATTATTTATTTTGTTCTATGCTGACGATACAGTATAATGTCTGAGTCTGCAGAGGGTTTACAACATGCTCTAAACGAGTTTCATTCGTATTGTGTACAATGGAAACTGAATGTCAATGTAGACAAGAAAAAAATTATGATTTTTTCGAAAGGTCCATCTGTTAAAAATGTATTTTACTACAATAATTCTGTTATTGAAATTGTGAACGAATTTAAATACCTAGGTATACTATTTTCCCGATCAGGTTCATTCTGTAAAACTAAAAAACATTTATGTGAGCAAGCTCAAAAAGCCATGTATGGAATTATACGAAAAATTAGAGAATTTAATTTACCAGTAGATTGCCAGCTCTGTTCGATAAAGTTGTCACTCCAGTACTTTTGTATGGATGTGAGATATGGGGTTTTGAGAACATTGAAATAATTGAACGTATTCATCTTAAATTTTTGAAATATATTTTTAATCTAAAAAGTAGTACTCCTAGTTATATGGTTTATGGCGAAACAGGTCGCTTCCCTTTGTATATAACAGTGTTTTCAAGAATGATATCTTATTGGGCAAAATTATTGGTAAGCCCTGAAAATAAGATTGTTTATGTTACATATAGACATTTATTTGAACAGTTTTGTTCAGGAAGTCATAAGAACCCTTGGATTTTATGCATAAAGAATATACTTGATAGTTGTGGCTTTTCAAATGTATGGAATGAACAGACCTTTTTAAATATGAAATGGCTAAAGGTTATAGTTGAACAACGTCTTAAAGATCAGTACATACAGAAGTGGCGAAGTAATATGCGCGATTCGTCTAAAGGCCTTTTTTAAAGAACCTTCAAAACAGAATTTGGGTTTGAAAAATATTTAGCTTTACTACCAAAAAAATTTAGAACTATTTTAATTAAACTAAGAACAGCAAATCATCGTCTTCCAGTTGAGACTGGGAGATGGTTTGGAATTCCCAAAAATGATAGACAATGTAATCTTTGCAATAATGGACAAATAGCTGATGAGTTTCACTACATTTTAGAATGTAAATGTTTTTCTGATTGTAGAAAAAAATATCTTCCAAATAAATATTGTAATAGACCAAATTTTTTCAAATTATCAGAACTGTTGTCATCTGCTGACTCTAAACTATTAATTAGACTATGCAGTTACATAAATAGAGTCTATGAAAAAGTCTGTCCTCCATGATTATTTTTGTTACTTCATGAATGTATTTCCGCCATTTCACGTGTATCTTGTATATTATCTTTTGTATATATTGTACATATATTGTTGAACCTCATGTACCATTGATATGGTTTGAGTGAATAAATTGAACTTGAACTTGAACTTGATTTCAAATGGAGAGAACTAATTAATATAGGCCGTTGGCCTGCTGTTCAATCCATGTTAATTATACTTTTTTTGTATATTATGAATAAAATACTTCTTAAATTAAATTAAATTAAATTAAAAGGTATAAAATACTTGTACATGCACGTGAAGTCAATAAAAAAATTTAGTAAAATTTTG